TTCAGCAAGGTCTTCGAGTTTGGCACCACAAATGGTGCAGGTCAGGCGAAGCCGGAGCTCTTTGACCCGCGCCTTCTGCGCCTCGAATTCCCTCTGCTTGATCTGCCAGTCCATGACGCCGTCGACGTGCGTCGCCCGGGGCCGCGCCGCCAGCGCCTCGCTGAGGTCGCCCATCGCATCGATCATGCGCCCTCGGAGCTGCTCGAAGTCGTCGGCCAAGATGACCGCGTCCTCATCCAATCCAGCTCGTAACCAGCCCGAGTGCCTCGAGTTCGTCAGCGCCCGTTGGCTGTCATCGAAGGCGCTCCGCAGGTTGTCGCGCCCGCCGAGCGCGAGGCGGCACGAGGCCCGCGAGAAGAGGCACTTCGCGAGCAGCGCCTGCGTCGCGCAGCAGGGCCCAGCGCCGGGTCCCGCAGCGCCCCGTCGAGCACGCCCAGGATGTCGTCGTAGGCCACGACCGCGTTCTCGTGATCCCCCGCCTGCTCGACGGCCCGCGCGGCCTCGCGCCGCGCGTCGAGCTCCAGGACCCGCTCGTGGCTCAGCGCGGGCCGCCACCAGGACAGCGACGTCACGTCGCCGACGTTCTCCTCGTCGAAAATCAGCACGCGGCAGGCGTAGCCCCCGCTGTCGTGCTCGCAGCGCACGAGCAGGGGCTTGTCGCGGATCGACCAGGGGTCTCCTTCCACCATGCGCCGCATGTTCTCCGCGAAGGCGCGGTGCTCCTCGTAGGCGACCTCGATGCGCGCGCCTGCGACAATAATGGCCGTCTTTTTGGGGGGGGAACTCGCGCGTTCCTGTCTCGGGAAAACGTCGCGCGTCGCGCGAAACCGTCTCGTTACGCGGGCGCGAGACGGTCCCAGCCGCGCTCCGCGAGATCCTCGCGGCTCTGGCAGGACATGGTGCCGTCCTCCCGCGTGCAGACCGCCAGCAGCAGATTCTCCGACGTGCCCTCGACGATCCAGTAGTGGCGGCCGCCCGGCGCGGTGACGTTCGCCGTGTAGATCCACCGCAAACCGGGAAAGAGCGCGCAGCCCTTCTCGTTGACGCCCTCCCAGAAGCCCTCCTCGCGGCTCTCGATGAAGGCCGTCGCCTCGTCCTGGGGGATGTACATCTCCCGCGGCGCCGCGCCGAAGGGCGACGGCCGCTTCTGCGCCGCGTTGCCGTCGACGTCCGTCAGCGCCGCGCGGTCCGCGCAGGAGTGCTTGTGGCCGCTCCGCCAGTCGCGCTTCTGGCAGGCCCGGCCGCAGTACCTAAAGCGGCGGGAGTTGGACGTCGGGGGGAGGGAGGAAGGAGGGCGCGCGGCGGCGCACCAGGCCTGGCCGCAGCGCGCGCACTGCAGCTTCGCGTGGGCGACGCCGCAGGCCTCGCAGACCGGCATTGGGTTGTGAGTGCGCGGCGCGGCGCGGCCCGGGGCGGGGCCCGCGACGGAGGAAGCCCAAGTCGCCGCCCGTGCGCGCGCAGAGAACGGCGGGAGATGCAAAAAATGGAACTCCGACGGTGTCGTTTGTTGTGTGCGGGGCTGCCCCGCCCAGATTTTGTTGCAGTCTACCCAGATTTTGCAGTCTGAAGGTCATTGGTTTAGGTACCAAGAAACTCGGCGTCTGGCAAGATTGGCCACAGCAACACACAACTTTCAATCGGCATGAAACAAAGCCAGTCTGTTCTTTTTTTTCTCATTGCGGGTTCGATTCTCC